GTAAGCAAAAGCCAACGAAAACAACAACAGAATTACATCTACAGATGCTCTTAGGACACTCACTAAATCGCGTTCTTCCTCATTCTTTTTTTTGTCTTCGTTTTTCTTGTTGCTTTTTTGACTTCAAAACCTTTTTCTACCAAATGCAACAGTTCAATTGTCAAAGCGGATTCATTGCAAAAGAGAGAAAAATTATTTCATTATTCAAAAAGCAGTCAAAAAATTATGCTATAATAACAGTTATTTTTGTAAACAAATAAACTGTTCAAAAAATTTATAACTGATGAGCTATGCGTCACTGCAGTTACGGCATTTCCACCATAGAAAATCCAATTAATTGATGAACGAAGAGAAAACAAAAGAATTAATTGCGGGGAGAACAGTGAAAAAATTGTCATTTGAAAAGCACATTTGCATGCAACAAACTACGCTGTTTTCTAATTCAAAACCAACTGCTTCAGAAGGTATTAGCCTAGTCTGAAAAAAAGCACTATTTTCTCGTTGACCAAAGCAATGTTCCAACAAATGTTTACCATTTTTAATAGCAAATATTGGCGCACTAAAAAATCGGACAAAACAATCTCTTAGCTATTGAAAGGCACAGTAAATTTGAAGAATAAGTTACTTTTTAGACATTATAATGGTAATTTTGAATTTCATTCTTCGACTAGAAGATGGTTTCTGATATCTTATATTGGTAATTTCATTTGCCACAGCTTAACATCAAACAGTGTTTGAGCAGTTTATTTTTTCCTATTTCCAACGTTTGAAGATTTCACTACCGAATCATACAAAAACACATGTTTTCTTTCCCGGCTAAAAGTTTCAACCAGAAAAAAAATAGCATCATTTTTTGTTTTCTAACATGTAAACTTTGAATGAGAAAAAAATGGTTTTTTTTTTTTCAAATTTTATTTCGCTGTTTGCAAACAGAAAACTAAGGAAAAAGTAGAAGATAAAAAAATTTGGAATTTAATTAGACGATATTTTAAAATTACATATGACGGCTTTCAATTTTTATTTCTGCTTTTCTATCCTTCTTTTCTTTCACCACAGTTGCACTCTTTGTAGTTTTTATACAAAAATTTACTAATTTTTCTTTTCCTTTTTTTATTATCGAATTTATTCAATGATTCATACAAAACTGCCGGTTGAGAAGTGGAAAAAAGAGTTAAAGAAGAACTTTGATACAATAAATTAGAAAACCTTTATTACATGTAAAAATTATAAAATTTAGAAATTTTATTGGTAATCACTTTAGCCGTAAAAATCGAAACAGTTTTATAAACCACAAAATATTAATTAAAAAAGAAACTTTCAATTTTAAAACAAAAAAAAATTTTTGTTTAAAAATTAGATTTGTCAGTAATGTTTAGCGGTTGCGAAGAAACAACTCAGTGTCAGTAGAATTTTGAAGTCAATTTTATCTTAACAAAATAAGATTTATTTTCTCTAATAAAAAAACTTTTTTAAGCGATTGCAATCAGTTCGTTGACGTTGCGCTATCATCGGAATCTTAAATAAAGGATCCATCTGTCCAGATAAACAGTTCCAGTTTTTCTACTACTTATTTGTAAAAAAAACTTTTTTCCAACTTTTTTCTTCCTAACGGACAAATAGAACCAAAGATTCTTCACTTCTTTTTTCCTTCTATACATATATTTGAGTTTACTATATAAATTGTCGCTGCACCACTGATAATCAGAGTTTCAGATTTTCAGTTTAAAATAAGCAACTGAACAGTAACAGCGGATGCTAAACGCTGATACTTCACTTCTGATCTTTTGGCATCTGTGCATAAATCACTGGCAGTAGGCCAGTTGAACATGAAGATTTTTAAACTTATCGAATAGGTTCAAA